GGGGTTTCGAAACCACGCCATTCGACTCAATGACAGACTTTATGATACAGCGCGCGCACGCTAACCATTCAGCCATCAACCACCACCCCCCCTTTGTTGAAAGAAAACAGAGCTGTGGCTAGTGAAATGAAAGTTTAACGTCCTACTGTTTTGCTCTGAACTGGGCTAATGAAGATGGGCATACGCCATACAGTGTGCTATGTGGGAAATTTTGCCCAGACAGTGGCACTACGGCCTTCTCTTATATCGAATTCTAACTTCAAGGGCTCTTGTACGTGCACGCCAATGTGTACATGGGACCTCATTTTTTTGTCCCATTTTAATGAATAGACAGCTGTCTTGTCTAGCCCTCTGTCCTGCATCACTGACAAGGGAGAACCACGCCCGAAAATCTGGAGTAACTTTCTCGGCCAATGCAGGGATCGAACACCCGACCTCCAGACTAGATAGCCAGTGTCTTACCGACTTAACCAACGTGATCCCCGTTGTGGCTACAATTCCTGGATTTGAAGGTCAGGTATGATATGAAATGAATATTTTGAACCGGTTCACCAATGCAACCAATCCGTGACGGGTTAACTGATAGAGGGTTACATCCTTGATATAAATATACTTGTCGCGGGTTTTAAAAATAGAAATATATATATAAAGGTAGCTCAAAATTCATCTCTACATGTACAGAGGCCAAGGGGGGATCATGTGGCTAAGTGGGTAGGCGCTGACTCGCTAGCCTTGAGGTCGGGTGTTCGATCCCTGCATTGGCCGAGAAAGTTCATCCTGATTTTCCGGTGTGGTTTCCCATTGTCAGTGATGCAGGACGGAGGGCCTGACGAAGACAGCTGTCTAGTCGTTTGGATGGGACAAAAAAAAACAAGGTCCAGTGTACACATTGGCGTGCACATAAAAGATCCCCTGGCAGTTGGAATTCGATACAAGAGTAGGCCATAGCGCTGCTGCCCGGGCAAAATTTCCCTCATAGCACACTGTATGGCGTAACCTTTTGCGTCTCTTCAAAATATTTCAAATCTTTTGTCATGGATCAACCATTGCAAATATCCGTGTTACAATTATATTTGAAATGTGTTAAACCAATTCTGCAACACATGTAATATTGGTGTAGTATATATCTTTGTTTATACACCCACATATCAATTTTGGCCCTGTTTGTCCGTACACTGGGTGTGAAATGTGAATCATTCCGATTGTGAGAGGACAAGCATTATCAATATACAGCTTTTCAGGACTTTGCTTTCCTTGGTTAATTCTCCCTAGTCTAGTCGTTTGGATGGTATGAATGATCGAGGTCCTGTGCACACATTGGTGTGCACGTGAAAGATCCCTTGGCAGTTTGAATTCGATATAAGAGTAGGCTTTAGCGCCGCTGTCTGGATAAAATTCCATAATAGGACACTGTATAGCATATTTCCATGTCATTAGCCCTGTCGGAATAGGACATTAAACCCATTTCATTTCACTCATTCCAAAGTTAACTTCTATTCCATCAATACCTTGAGCAAATAAGATAGAGGCTATAGGTTTTGGCCCAATTTGGTCAATATCCCAGTTTTTTCTTTCTTATATGCATATCAACACTTTTATAGCGCTAATGTAGACCTTTTTCTTGAACATTTTCCCGTGTCAGTGATGCCGGACAGAGGACCTGACATGGATGGCTGACTAGTCATACGGAAGGGACAAAAAAACCAAGGTACAGTGTAAACTCAAGTGTGTGTGTGTGTGAAAGATCCCTTGGCAGTTTATATAAGAGTACGCCATAGCTCTGCACACTGTGTGGCATATGCCCGTCTTCATTTCTCAAACAGCTGTGGATAAAAACTGTTAATATTTAAATGTGTATTTTGTATTTTATAACATTATATTTTTGTCTTTTAAATAAAGTATATGTATACATACTTGTAGTATATTTTGTCATATAATTCTGCTAGATTTTTAACTTTTCTGTGCAATACATTTAGAATTCTGACTGGTTATGGGTAGATAGAGAGCAATGGGGTAAAACATCCAATAGACATAAACTGTCCTTTGGGACTAAGTGATTCAATTCAAGTTGAATAATTCATCCGCACCAGGAATCTTTAGTAGTAGGAGGACCCAGAGAAAACCCATGTTCAAGTTGGGTGTGAAAACAAACCACTTGACTCAATGACAGACCTTATGATCTAAAGCGCACACGTTGGACCACTCAACTTTTAGCCTCACCCACGGGTCAGGAAAATTTGATTATTGGTTGAATGTACTTCCCATTTACTGCCGCAAATAATGAATAATTTTGAAGGTTTTAATGCTCATCAAAATTTGACTTTAGAATTGCATCCGTAAATGATGTTAATTTATTGTTAGATTTACGGTATAATGATCGGTTAGATATCCATCATTTTGCTCATCCTTTTAACGACAATTTAACGTCAGGAAATGACGTTAATCTAGCGTAAAGTTTACGTCATTTTTACGTTATATTTACATCATTTTCTGACGTAAATCTAACGTAAAGTTTACGTCATTTTCTGACGTAAATCTAACGAAAATGACGTAAACTTTACGCAAATTTTACGTTAGATTTACGTCAGAAAATGACGTAAAGTTTACGTTAGATTTACGTCAGAAAATGACGTAAATATAACGTAAAAATGACGTAAAGTTTACGTTAGATTAACGTCATTTCCTGACGTAAAATTATTGTTAAAAAGATGAGCAAAATGATGGTAAACTGACTGACCATTTTTACGTAAATGTAACGTAAAATTAACATCATATTGTTATGTGGGTATCAAGTAACGTTTTCAATTCGTATTACATTTCTTTTTACTACAAATTAAAAATATGACTTTTATTATATAAATAAGAAGCGAAAGTTTTAAAGGAATGGACCAAATCAATGAGGCGTAATTATAGCCGACTTCTTCAATCTTGTTAGCCTGCGTGTACTCCCGAAGCAGACAAATTGAAATAGGAAACATTGATCCAGTGGGGCTGCATTGGCTGCAATTCAACCGATGTGATGTTAGCTGCGATGTTTATCAATTTCCATAATTTTTCTGTAATCGCAAGTGACAAAAGAGCGTATAATACCGACATCCAAACTCTCATTTTAACCACAAATAAACATAATATCAAGGCCGTATATATCGAACTTTCAATCAAATTGACCGACATATGCGGTTTCGCGCAATAGCGGCCTCGCTTCGTACACTCTATCATTCAGCTTCGATCTAAAATTTCCCGGAGTATGACGTCAACGTAACGGTTAATCCCAGCTTACGACGCCATTAAAAAATTTAATCAATCAATGAAATCCTGTTTAAATCCAATCGAATCCAAGCCATCCGTGGGTCTACAGAGTTGATTTTGTGTTTGTTGTGTAAATAAAGATCTAATTTATAATTTCTGTGACATCTGAAGCCTAAACAAAGACTTGCAATAATCAGATTTAGCTCTTCATTATCATTATGCGTTACACTGTATCTCTTCTGGCTGTTATTGTATGGGTGAGAATTTTTCTTCTATACAAAATATTCAGTTTTATGTGAACTCTTTTAAAAATATAATGTAATATAAAAATATTAAACATACATTATGCAAGAGCTAATCTGCCTATTGCAGGTCTTTCTTTTGGCCTGAAATGTTATCTAAATTATTAATTAGACATTAATTAACTTATCCAGACCATATTAACTCTCGATGGCATCGCCAGTCTGCAATGTTTATTGGATTAGGTTCCGATTTTCTGTTCGACTTCCATTCATAATTGAATCATGGAATGGATAATCGAGACTATGTTTTTTTATCGCACGTACTTTAGTTATGATGATCAAGGTCAGGCCGAAAATTCCATTCCTAAAATCTCGGTTCATGGTGGATCAATTGATTAATCAATCAGCGTTGACGTTTGTAGTGGTTTACACACAGTTCCACACATGGTACGCCAATAAGTCGTCGTAACAGACCGTTTCATTGGCTTATCCCTCACTTCAACAAAAATGCCGGTAACGATCAAGTAAAACGAGATTTTGAACTATAACAAACAAAACGACATAGGATCTGTGTTTTAATCAGAGAGAGAGAGAGAGAGAGAAATGGGGTTAAACGTCCACTCAACACAAACTAGGTCATTTCGGGACTAACATATGGTTTAATTTTATTTCAATAATTCGCTTGCGCGTAGGGGTCTTTAGCAGTGGGAGGAAACCGGAGGACCTGGAGAAAACCCACGAGGTTGGACAGTCGACCCCACTCCTTGTCACGTAAAACCGGGGATTCGAAACCATGCCAGTTGACTCAATGACAGGCCTTATGATACAGCGTGCACATGCTAACCATTCAGCCACCCCCCCCCCCCCCCAAACAGATTGTAATACACCATTATTTTGTTGCACATAAAAAATATAGATATATTTCTATTATAAGACTTTATCGAGAGTGCTGCCATGCCAATATAATTAACTGTTGTTGAATTCTAATACTTCAAAGACAGAAACTGTAAAGCATGTCTAATTGATACCCGGGTAACTCTTGCGGTAAAATAAACACACTCTATGAAATTACATTCCACGGACTATAAATTTTAATGAGATTTATATAGTCGCAATTCTGTCAATTTGTTTTGGAACTCTTCTGGTGAAAAATTCCTGACAAAAGCCCCCAAATCTTGCCATAGATGCCCCTCTACACGCGTCTTATTATAATCAATTGTTGTATAAATGAAATAAAATGAAATCATCCTACTGTTTTGTACTGATTGGGCTAATGAAGACGGCCAAGAGACCCCGGTTGTACGTCACAAGGAATAGGGTCGCCTGTCCAACCTCGTGGGTTTTTTCTGGGTTCTCCTCCCACTGCTAAAGACCCCTACGCGCAAGCTAATTATTGAAATAAAATTGAACCATATGTAAGTCCCGAAATGACCTAGTTTGTGTCGAGTGGACGTTAAACCTCTCTCTCTCTCTCTCTCTCTCTCTCTCTTTTAAACTATTATTGTGAGAACTATCAGCTCTTTATCTCAATCTTATATGTCATCTTCAATAGAAGAATTGGTCTTGCTTTAAAAATGAAATGAATTGAAATGGGGTTTAACGACCTATGTTCTGCTCCTACCCTGAGCTAATGAAGACGGGCATACGCCATACAGTGTGCTATGAGGGAAATTGTGCCCGGGCAGCAGCGCTAAGGCCTACTCTTATATCGAATTCCAACTGCCAAGGGATCTTTTACGTGCACGCAAATGTGTACACGGGACCTCGGTTTTTTGTACCATCTGAACGACAAGACAGCTGTCCTTGTCAGGCCCTCCATCCTGCATCACTGACAAGGGGAAACCACGCCGGAAAATCTGGATGAACTTTCTCGGCCAATACAGGGATTGAACACCCGACCTCCAGGCTAGCGAGCCAGCGTCTTACCCATTTAGCCACGTGATCCCCGATCTCGCTTTAACTACATACATCTTATCAAGGCCTTCACGTAATACCCTGCATATTTCGGCACTAATTTCGTTCAAGGTTTCCGTGGAGGTAGCTATGTTACAACCTCTGATTGGACGCTACTGTTCACATGCCTGTACATAACGTAGCTATAAGTTCGGGAATTGTAAATTAATCTAGCAACATCGAGATAATGTAAAACTTGCAGTCGTTGCCTCAGGAATATGACATAATCTAGGCCTATCATTAAGTATGGCAATTCTTAATATGTTTCTGTAAGGTGCCTTTTTGAATATAGGATTTTTCACACAATTCACATTTGAAAGGTTATGAAGGTTAATGTGACACTACAGTACACTTATCTGAGTAAATGATTTACTGCAAACATCACATTTGAAAGGCCTTTTTCCTGTATGACTTCGAACATGCCGCTTGAGTGTATTACCTCCTTTAAACGACATATCACAAACATCACATTTATAATGATCTTTTAGAGGCATTTAGTAACTGGATAGAGCAATAAACTATAACACATACTTATGTGTGTGTATGGCTTCCCTTTTGTTTGGTTTAATGGTATGTTTACCCCTATTATCAGTCCTTTATTATTCCCTTGATGTACCCTCACCTAGCCAATCACATCATGTATGGTTTCTCATTTGTCATGATTGGTTGTCCAATTAAAATTATTTACCCCTATAATCCGTCATATGTATATTGCCTTTGATCATGTTGTTTTTTAATCCTTTGATCTTGTTGTTGTCATGCATGGTTTCTGAATTGTTGTTATTGCTTGTCTATATATAATTGCTCTACACATTTGTTACTGTACTTGCTTGAAAACGTTGAGAGAATACTCTTCGAAACGTCGCCCAAATAAATCAGTAATTGTTCTTCCATAAGTATGTGTTATAGTTTATCACATTTATAAGGACTTTCTCAAGTGGCATGTCAGATTACTTTTTTCTATAAATAATTTACCACAAAAAACACATTTAAATGGCTTTTAACCTGTATGTGTCCTCATATGTACCTGAAGACTTCCCTTAAGTGTTAAGGCCGGGCCCCGAGTTCACAAAGCATTCTCAGACTTAAGTTAAGAATTTACCCAACTTTCAATCACTATTTATGAGAAATATATTTTATCCAAAAACACGAAACTTTGCACATAGTTTCTTATTGATGTATTTGATACATTAAGACAACAAAAGTTTTATAAAGAGCTATAGTTTAGTTAAAATTAGGTCAACAATTTTGAGTAAATTCTCAACTTAAGTCTGAGAATGCTTTGTGAACTTGGGGCCTGGTCACATAAAGGACATTTATAAGGTTTCCCACCAGAATGAATTCTTTTGTGGACTTTCAGTTTACTTTTTTGGATAAAGGATTTGTCACACTGATCACATTTGAATGGTTTCTGAGAGAGAGAGAGAGAGAGAGAGAAATGGGGTTTAACGTCCACTCGACACAAACTAGGTCATTTCGGGACTAACATGGTTTAATTTTATTTCAATAATTCGCTTGCGCGTAGGGGTCTTTAGCAGTGGGAGGAAACCGGAGGACCCGGAGAAAACCCACGAGGTTGGACAGGCGACCCTATTCCTTGTCACGTACAACCGGGGATTCGAAACCACGCCAGTCGACTTAATGACAGACTTTATGATACAGCGCGCGCACGCTAATCATTCAGCCATCCAACCCCCGAGGCTGACCTTAAAAATATCTTTGTTTCACCAAACCCGACCCACAATCGAGGAGAAGGGTCGGTAGGTCGGGTTTTTTCAGATTTTTTTTTTAAGAGCTAATTTGACAGCTTGATAATTTTCCGGGTGCAAACATTCGTCTTCTTTTATTGGCAAACAAATCAATGACATCAGGATTTTTCTTGATGCACGACTCGCACACAAATTGCGACAAACTCACGTTTGAAACTCCCTCCACACATTTTTAACGATCGTGCGGGTTGTGCCTTCATTTTTCTCGAAAATGGATATTGAAAATATCGTCGTCGGCAGAATCATTTCGTGGGAATGGACGTGCTTTCGTCTGCAACCATTTTGTTGAGAAGCGACACCTATGACGCTTTCGTCTTGATCAACCAGTTTCAATAATGAATCAAACCATAGCCATAGTAAAGGGAAATAACTCTCGTGATATATTTCAGGTTGACACACAAAATAAAATAAAAAGATCGCAGAAAGTCGGGGGTGGTTTTAGTTAGTCGGTCGCGTTAGGCGAAACAAAGATATTTTTAAGGTCAGCCTGAATGGTTTCTCTCCAGAGTGAATGTGCAGATGTCCCGTTAAATTAGTTTTAGTGGTGAATGATGTACTACAAACGTGACATTGGAAAGGTTTTTCCCGGTCTGAGTCCGCATGTGGCAGATCAAATAATTATTACATTTAAAAAATTTGCTACACACGTCACATATAAATGGCTTCACGATATCTCCTGCGTGAAGTTTGCCATGACATTTTAGAGAACCACGTTGAGTGAATGACTTACCACAAACATCACAATTGAAAGGATCCCCTCCTGTATGGACCCTTATGTGCACTTTCAGTTCTAACCGTACCCTAAATGATTCACCACAAACATCACATTTAAAAGGTATTTCGCCTGTATGAATTCTAATGTGTTTTTGCAACTTACAATTATGACTAAATGATTTGTCACAAGTGTCACATTTGAATGGTTTAACTCCACTATGAATTGTTCTATGTTCGTTCAGATTACCTTTTAAGGCAAATGATTTACCACAAACATCACATTTATGAGAGCTTTTTCTTGTGTGAATTTTTTTGTGGTGATTTAATGTACTTCTCTGATTGAAAGTTTTACTACAGATGGTACAAGGGTGACTACAGATATGTTTCTTTAAATCACTTGGTTTCTTAAATGATCGGTTACAGGCACTACACTGAACCATAGTAGATTTTGTAACCTGTCCATCTATATCATTCGATATATTAATTTGTTTTGTATGAGCTATATGTATATTATCAGAAGTAGTACACGTATTCAACTGTTTTTCACTATTCTGAGAGGTATTCAACTGTTTATCACCACTCTGAGATGTATTTAACTGTTTTTCACCATTCTGAGATGTATTTAACTGTTTTTCACCATTCTGAGATGTATTCAAATGTTTTTCACTATTCTGAGAAGCATTCAACTGTTTTTCACCATTCTGAGATGTATTCAACTGTTTTCCACCATTCTGAGACGTATCAAATTGTTTTTCACCATTTTGAGAGGAATATGTATTCAAATGTTTTTCACCTTTCTGAGAGGAATATGTATTCAACTGTTTTTCACTATTCTGAGACGTATTCAACTGTTTTTCACCATTTTGAGAGGAATATGTATTCAACTGTTTTTCACCATTTTGAGAGGAATATGTATTCAACTGTTTTTCACCATTCTGAGAAGAATATGTACATGTATTCATCTGTTTTTCACTATTCTGAGAGATATTAAAATGTTTTGAACCATATACATCTATATCATCATGATCAGAAGCACTAGAGTACTTGAAAATGTTTCTCTAGATCACTGTATTGTATAAAACTAATTTTACAAACTTTACATTGAGGGGACGAACTAAACTCCTCTTCTTTAACATGTATTTTACAATGTTCTTCTAAGTCTAAATGCTGTTTAAAATGCTCTTTACAAAATTTACACTGATGTGACGAACTTGGTACAGACTTTCTTCTTCAATATGTTTATCTAAAATAACTTTACAAACTTGACTATTATGTGATGTAATTGGTTCAGACTCTTCGTCTTTAATATGTATTTTACAATGCTCTTTTAAGTCTGAGTGCTGTTTAAAATGCTCTTTACAAACTTTACACTGATGTGACGAATTTTTTCGAGACTCTTCATCTTTAACATGTATTGTACAATGTTTCACTAAATCAGTGTACAATTTAAATTTTTCATCACATAATTTACATTGATGAAATGATTCAACATCACTCACTTTCTCTTGTAAATGTAATCCATCAGTTCTCCCTTCTTCAACTTTTATTTCATTGTAGCCTTCACCTTCACCAGTCCTCTCAACTGTAACATGTATTGCGTCATAGTTTTTAGTATCATTTTCTTCTTTTATATGTGTATGATGCAGGCCCATTTTATGATTGTGTTCAGTATCATTTTCTTTTTTTAAGTTTGCATGATGTAGATTCATCTTATTATGGTGTTCAATATCATTTTCTTCTTTTATATGTGTATGATGCTGACTCATCTTATTATGGTGCTCTAAGTCAATGTATTTTTGAAAAATCTCATCACATACCACACATTGGTGAAGAGTTTTAACATCCTGATTAGCCTGCAATATGAAATAATATTACATTTAAACAGCATTCATATAAAATACAAGGAGTTGTAGACATAGCTCCCTTGTGGAGGTAAAGAGGAGAGAGAAAAACAGAAATGGGGTTTAGCGTCCACTCAACATAAACTAGGTCATTTCGGGACTAACATATGGTTCTATTTTATATCAATAACTCGCTTGCGCGTAGGTGTCTTTAGCAGTGGAGAAAATCGGAGAAAACTCGCGAGGTCGGACTGGCGACCTTACTCCTTGTCACATACAACCCGGGAATCGAAATCACACCATCTGACTTAATGACAGACCTTAGGATGCAACACGTACGCAATAACCATACGGCCATCCAAGTCCCAGAGTAAAGAGGAAGCACAGTATGAAATTCATAGTGATAAATATGATGTGAAAGTCTTCCTATGATGAGCTGAACAATCCCAGCAAATTTTTAATTAAGATGAATCAAACAATCCTAACAAGTTTTAAGGCAAATGATTTCAGTATACGGTCAATAACTCTGCCAGCAAATTTTTAATTAAGATGAATCAAACAATCCAAACAAGTTTTAAGGCAAATGATTTCAGTATACGGTCAATAACTCTGCATACAGTGTCTGAAATGTCTGAAAAATAGAGGAAATTAATTTTTTTTGAGGCTGAAACATTGTCAGTCTGAAATGTCACTGGGCCGAAATGTCATGTAATCACTACCAAATAGGGTCCTGTCATAGTTTTGCCTGGGAGCAGTTCGTTTCATTACACTACCAGTTTATCTCGGGCTGTTTCATCCCAAATTTACAAGGGTTGTTTCATCCCACTTATATAGGGATAATCTAGACTTTGTTTATTATCATTACAGTGGTAAAAATGACAATCGAGTCTACAATGTGAAGTGATTTGACTGATATTTTCAGCATATTCCTGTTACATTATCTATTATTTAACAAGGGGGTGCAAATTAGGTTCGGATGAAACATCATGTTTCAAGTGTGGCCTTGTTGCTCAAACTCGAATGTTTACTTGAATGACAACATTCGTAGAATTAAGACAATTTAATTCAGGAAGGTATAATTATAATCAATAACAAATATTGCGGTATTGCGCTAGCAACTATTTCTTCCGGTTCCCGTTGGCGTTGTCCACTTCAATGATACAATGTGGACGACTTTGCTTATGGACGACTTGACTGGCACCCGTCATAGACATGAGAGGGACAGACCGAAGACAATGTTAAATGATCCCACTTTTATATCAATCATATTGTTATGAATCATCATGAATTTACATCAATTACCATTTTATATTTTGTTTAGTCTTTGATCGCTCTGGAATATTTACGCCATGTTGAATGCATTAAAACGTCGTTGGGGAGGTGGTTGTATATACTGTTGTACCAAGGATATGATTAAACCCGAGTAACTCACAATATTCATACGTTTTTATATCCATCATGTAGTATACTGTTTGTATGAATGTATCGAGTTGTCTATGTAATATGTATTATTGAATGTATATGACTATGTCTAAGTGTATATGTATGCATGCTGTCCTTCATGGACGTTTTGATGCAATAAACATCTTATCTTATCTTATCTTATTAGTAACAGTAAATTTTATTCACTGGCATACATGGCATCAGCGTCTGGTTCTCCCAAAACGACCTCTTCCCTTATGGTAAATCCGATCAGGCACACGGAAAATAAAAAAGTTCCGCCTATTAATAAACAACTTCAAATAGCCACTCGGTCACTTTCACCGGTTTTAGGAGCGAGTGCGAGACTGGTTGTTGGACAGAACGTTCGTTCGTTCCTGGAGTTTTACTTCCACTTTCACCAAGTGTGATATAGGTTTATTTAACGTCCGCTTCCACCGAGGTGATATCGCAGACACTGGACAGAACGTATCTAAAAACGCTGAGATATACTGATGAGATGTGCTTGTTTTAGTTCCAAGTGGCAAACTCAATTTCTTTATTAATGCATGTACCATCTTAAAAATAAGTTAATTTTATACTATTAGTACTTATTACACATACACAGCCCCATCTACAGAAACAACATTCATTTATCAGCAAATATTGACAATAAAGTAAATCAGGCGTTGTTTTTTTATCAAAATTGATTCGGACGTTTATAATTACGGCGTATTACTATTGCGCAACTCTGATCAGATTAGTACTTTGATTGGCTATTGCACACGAGGCATCGCCTTTATGTGTTACAGACATAAATTTAAAATGTCGCAAAAAGCAATCTACTGTCGCTTTGATTTAAAAAGAGGGGATTTGTTCCCGTTTCAGGTAGGATTATATGCTTAATTGTAGTTGGGTGTGGCAGAAATATTATAAATAACAATAATCAATCATTGTTTTGATTAAAAATATTGTCAATTTCGTTTACAATTGCCGGGTACGAATCGCTCCCGCATGTGCTACGTTGAAGTTAATAGCACCATTTCTTATCTCGAAACACGGAGGGTTGAGAGATATGGTTTGTTATCTAGACAGAATGGAATTGGAACACTTTATATCCACTTTGAAAAAGCAGCCGGATGGAACAAGTGGACCGGCGTCCAATTGCGCATCAGTTACTAATGGGTTTAAAGGGGCCATCGCAGAAATAAAATGGGGTTTAACGCCCTAATGTTCTGAACCGACTGGGCTAATGAAGGCGGGTTTTCGTTATGCAGTGTGCTGTGAGGGAAATTTGCCCGGACAGTGGTGCCACGTACGGCCAACTCCTAATTCGAATTCCAGCTGTATATGTCAATTTCACAGGAAATTGCTAATGTTCACAGGAAAAGATTATGAGTCCCTTCATACCGTTATCACCTCTACAAATCTACAGATGAGAAGATAAAAGCTCGCCAACAAAGGACATTTGGAAATCTGAAAGAAAGGAAACTGACCACTAATAACCTAAGGACGAACACACACTACAAAATAACTTCCTAGCCAAGACCGTAGTGAACCTCAGCAGCAAACAACTTAGTGATGACCAGATAAATATACTCGCCACGAATAGAAAACCTAGAAGAACCGTTGGAAACCAATTTGTCAACGGAGAATATAGTTAGTCTAGTCAGTATGTACATTAACTCCACCTACTTCAACTGGGGAGACAAAACTTATGAACAGATCCAATGGCCTATCAATGGGAAGTCCCTTATCACCACTCATCTCAGTAATCTATTTAACACGATTTGAAGAACGTGCCCTGCAATCATCTCCTATAACCCAAGTAGGTGGGTGATAATTTCGTCATCCTGGAGGAAGAAGATGACCCAGCAGCTTTCAACAACCAGCACACGAGGTTTAAATTCAGTATGGAGACAGAAGTTGACCAATCACACCCCATCAAAACCAGCGTGCACTGCAAACCTATCCACACGGATCAATATATTAACTTCAACTCTATACATCCAACCAATGTAAAGGCATCTTTACAATATATGTGATCCAGATTACCTCAACACAGAATTTGGCGACCTTCGGCACGCCTTCTTCACCGCCAACAGCTACCCTATTAAATTTGTCAACCATGTTATCAAATCCACCCTGAACCCTACCCACCAAAAAGAGGAACCCAAACCCGAAAAGCCAGACATGCGAGTAGTATTGTATCTTATCAAGTAAGCAGAATCCTGAAGACAGTGAATATTGCAACAACATTTATCACCTCCACAACCTAAAAACAGATCCTTAGAGCAAATGGGGGAAACTGCCACCGACCAACCCTAGTCAACCAAAAGGAGTGGTTTACAAAGTCAATTGTTCCTGCTACAAATCTTACATAGTCTAGAACCAAAACCAATGTATCCACAATAGCCGAACACATCAGCAAGAACCAGGACTACAAACCAGACCAGAACAATGTCCAAACCCTATCTGTTCATAAACACCAGAAGAAAGATAAGAAAATCATAGAAGCAATCATAATGAAACGTCACAGTCTAGAACTAAAGAGAGACACAAGTTTATACATTCCAAAGGCCTTGATCTGGTCTGGTCAAGATGGGGAAATGATAATAATAATCAATTGTTAATTCACAATATAGTTAAAGTTACAATTTAATATTTTTTAAGAAAGTCAAAACATAATTATTTCTATGTCTTTTGCTCAATGATTGTCAACTCACTATTATACGATCATAGGTTATCTTTCTTACACTTAAAAATCTTCACACCGGAAATAATAACACAATTACCTCCCAATTACCTCCCTTGTTTTCCTATTCCTCACCATGGAATAGCTATAGGATTAATAGGATTATTCTTTAACAAGGTAGGGCTGTTTATAGATACCATATGTTTTAGGGCTTTGTTTTAATACATTTTAAAAAAATATGAAATTGTAACTTTAAGGACATAACTAGTTATTATGATAACTTAATTGTAATTACATTTCTTTCATTTCTACCGGGGGTGGATGGCTGAATGGCTGAATGGTTAGCGTGCGCGCGCTGTATCATAAAGCCTGTCATTGAGTTAACTGGTGTGGTTTCGAATCCCCGGTTGTACGTGGCAAGGAGTAGGGTCGCCTGTCCACCCTCGTGGGTTTTCTCCGGGTCCTCCGGTTTCCTCCCACTGCTAAAGACCCCTACGCGCAAGCGAATTATTGAAATAAAATTAAACCATATGTTAGTCCCGAAATGACCTAGTTTGTGTCGAGTGGACGTTAAACCCTATTTCTCTCTCTCTCTCTCTTTCATTTCTACCGTCTCCCTATCAGTTCACATATGTACTTTCAATTATTATATGTATATATATATATCTTGCACTGGTAAGCTGATACCGTTTACTAATGAAGCTAGGCCTTTTAGTAATGACAAATATTTGTCATTAAATCATATAATTAAACATACATTATGCAAGAGCTAAATCTGCCTATTGCAGATCTTTCTTTAGGCCTGAAATGTTATCTAAATTATTAATTAAACATTAATTAACTGATCCAGGCCATAATCAAGTCTCGATGGCATCGGATTTCTTCTATATTAAATAGATTAGAACGGTTCAGCCATATTTTGATTTAATCTAAATGGAGGGGCGAGACTTAGCTTCTAACAACCAGTACGGTGGTTGCAATTATTGCACACGTCTTGTCACTCCTTCAAAGGCTAATATTTTCGCTCGCAATAGAGTAATTTGAATGAAATTTTCAAATCTTTCAATTACATTATCTATTTTCGAACTATTATAGCACGAATGGCTAGCTCTTTATCTAAATCTTGCATTATGTGTCTTAAAAACGATAAGAGAATATTTGTCGAAACGTCATGATATATGTATATAAACCAATGATTGTTTTCCATACAAACTGTGTTATCAAACGCTAAATGTCACTCAAGGATTATAAATATTAAAAACCTTGCATGTTCAACATTTATTGTGAGTTACTCGTGCTGACCTGATCCTCAGCCAAATAAATGTTGCACATTGGCTTGCAATGTAAGATGGCGGTGAACGGAAAATATCTCCAAACAGTGGGTGCTATTGACACGGTTTATTTGAAAATATTTGACATTATTGTAAAAAAACGAAGAGGGTTTATAGACCATCGTTAGCTGACGAGAATGGTAGATAAACGATGGGGATACAGTAATCCTTGCTTGGCCGTCATTCTCATATGTAACAGACATTGCCTGAGTCAGCGAAGTTGATTTGATTGATTGTTGTAAAACCTTCATAATCATAATTAAGTTTCTATTTTTTTTTTTTTTCAAAATTAATTTTAATTTAGATCTAAATTGTATGATTAAATTTAAAAAATAAAAAAAAATAAAAAAAGTGTGAGTGTGAGAATTATTTTCAGTGACGTCAAAATTATATTTTGTGACATCATTTATTAGATGTGTCATACAAATAGTTCTACTTGACGCGTAATCTCACATTGACATGTTCATTACCAGTTTCGCCCAGAACTCCACTGGCTACCGATTAAGACCAGAATCGATTTTAAAATTCTCATGCTGACTTTCTGTGCTTTGTCATGTGATGACTCTCCTGTATATATTAAAGAATTAATTCAACCCTACCACCCTACCAGAAATCTTCGTTCCGAAACTAAATACCTTATTAAATCAGTAACTGCAAACTCTTCTTTCGGTAGATGCCCCTTTGCTTTTGCGACAGCAGAACTGTGGAATTCTAATGATTTTCCTATAGAACTAAAGTACTGTGCATCAATTGACCATTTTAAAAAGAATCTTAAAACCCATCTTTTTAGAAACGTTTTCTTTTAACTGTTGATTTTTTAACTAGTGTTTTTGTTTTAATTGACCATAATGTTACCAAAGAGCAGCTTCGGTTGGATTTTAGGACATTATTATTATATTATATTATTATTGTATCCCGTTCTGATCTGAATTTTTTTTAGGACAGCAATCTGTGAGTGACAGTTTCAGTTACGCTCACTGTGTTACTGGAAAAGAGCTTCGCTCTTTATTAGTTAGATAACAAACCTTAATCTCTCAACCCTCCGTGTTTCGAGATAAGAGATGACCATTTTAAAAAGAATCTTAAAACCCATCTTTTTAGAAACGTTTTCTTTTAACTGTTGATTTTTTAACTAGTGTTTTTGTTTTAATTGACCATAATGTTACCAAAGAGCAGCTTCGGTTGGATTTTAGGACATTATTATTATATTATATTATTATTGTATCCCGTTCTGATCTGAATTTTTTTTAGGACAGCAATCTGTGAGTGGCAGTTTCAGTTATGCTCACTGTGTTACCGGAAAAGAGCTTCGCTCTTTATTAGTTAGATAACAAACCTTAATCTCTCAACCCTCCGTGTTTCGAGATAAGAGATGATGCCATTGCCTTCAATGTAGCACATACTGGAGCGTTTCGCACCCAGCATTTGAAAACAAAATTGACAATATTTTTAATCAAAACGATTGGTTATTGTTATTTATAATATTTCTGCCACACCCAACTACAATTAAGCATATAATCCTACCTGAAACGGGTACAAATCCCCTCTTTTTAAATCAAAGCGACAGTAGATTGCCTTTTCCGACATTTTAAATTTACGTCTGTAACACATAAAGGCGGGGCCTCGTGTGCAATAGCCAATCAAAGTAGCCATCTGATCAGAGTTGCACAGGAGTAATACGGCGTAATTATGAACATCCGAATCAATTTTGATAAAAACAACGCTTGATTTACTTTATTGTCAATATTTGCTGATAAATGAATGTTGTTTCAGTAGATTGGACTGCGTATGTGTAATAAGTACTAATAGTATAAAATTAACTTATTTTTAAGATGGTACATACATTAATAAAGAAATTGAGTTTGCCACTTGGAACTTAAGGCAACCAATCGTAGCTAAAAACAAGCACATAAGTATATCTCAGGGTTTTTAGTTACGTTCTCGTAGCTATATATTAGTAAGTGCAGGAGGACCGCACTAAACGAAGAACAAAACCAACAAGACAAATCTGTTGACATGTCAAACTACATAGACATTATATACAGGTCACAATTCTATGGAAAACAATTACTGCTTATTACTAGACCTGCATCGTATAGTAATTAGAAGGGTATCTCTGCTTGGTCAGCATAATATATCTTATCTCGTTATATTTTATATTTTATCATTACTTGATAATGACTAGAGAAGCCCAGTCGAAACGTAGCTCAGTAATAAGCAGTAATTGTATTCCATAGAATTGTCACCTATATATTCCAGTTCAATTAATAAATGCCAGGGAAATAATTTACATAAACGTTGCAAGAAAAAAAACCCCAACAAATATCAAATCAAGTGAATAGATCCTGGGATCAGCTGTAAGCGTCCACTGTGCTGTAACAGTAGATGTTATATCAGTTGCTACAAAGGAGGATGTTTGTCCCCACAGTCGGTTTCTGTCTAACCATTAATATTCATATCCTGATGGCCAATGATAAGCTCCGCCCCTTTTTCATATAATGATGAGAGCTGCCAATATAATCACACAATATGCCAAGAGAAAAGTGGATACTTGCAGATTGGTGTCGAATTGGTTATAAAGACAATTTTATACAAAAAAATTTAGAAAGCTGTGGGAAAAATCTTAATCTCATAAATGTGAAAAATATTAAACCCCTTTCCATTTTGTTCTGGTTTTTGAAATAAACTATTTATTTTTATTTTTTTACAGAAAGCTATAACCATGCATCAGTGTGTTGTCTGTGATGAGATTTTTCCACAATACTGTGACCTAGAAAACCATAATAAAATACATGTTAAAGAAGAAAAAAATGAAAAACGTCTTGAGTGTAAGGTCTGTGATATCAGTGATTTATCGGTCGACAAGTCAACACAAACAAACGAATGTGATATATGTTTACAAGTTTACAGTTCTCCGACCGAACTTCTCTTTCATATGAAAGTTCATACCGCCGAAAAACCGTACAAATGTGAGATTTGTAATGAATGTTTCAGAATGAGAATCAGTCTGGACTTTCACGTCAAGAAACATATCGACTTGAAAACTATTAAAAGAGATGTTTTTATTCAATCATCTAATACTGATTCTTGTCCGTCAAAAGATACACAGTGTTCATTAGCCCAGTCGATGCAGAAAAGTAGGACGTTAAACCCCATTTCGTTTCATTTGTCAAAAGATAGCACAGTTCAGACTGGAGAAGCACCGACTAAAGGTGATGTTTGTGGTAAATCATTTAACAATTTGTGTGGGTTAAATAGCATGACAGATAAGCCTGGAGGAAAGTTGATCAATTTTAAATCTGTTGGTAAAGGTAAGCATTGTAGGACTAAAGCTAGACAGAAACCATTTAAATGTTTTACTTGTGGGGCGTCGTTCAACAAAAGTGATAAACTGGAGATTCACATGAAAAGTCATGTCGATGTCGATGAAAAACCACATGTGTGTCATATTTGCTGTAAATTTTTCAGTAATGATTCTTTTCTTCAAAAACACAAAAAAATACATACTGAAGATGACCAGTATATGGAAGACAGACGATACCAATGTGATGTTTGTGGTAAATCATATAGTGGAAGCAGTGCATTAAGAATTCATGCACGAAATCATACTGGTGAAAAACCTTTTAAGTGTAATGAATGTAGTAAAACTTTCAAATCGAAAGATCTTTTGCAACGGCATGTGAGAATTCATACTGGCGAGAGACCCTATAAATGTGATGTATGTGATAAATCATTTAGTCAACCTAGTACATTGACCATTCATACACGAAATCATACCGGCGAGAAACCCTTTCATTGCAATGAATGTAGTAAAACTTTCAAATCAAAGGATACTTTGCAACGGCATATGAGAATTCATACTGGTGAGAAGCCATTTAAATGTGATGTTTGTAATAGATCATTCAGTCAGCCTCATAGTCTTCAGATTCATCGAAGAACTCATACAGGAGTCAGACCCTATGTTTGTGATGTTTGTAGTAAATCATTTACTTCTCTTAGTCAGCTTCAAAATCATTTAAGAATACATACTGGTGAAAAGCCTTTCCAATGTCCAGTGTGCCGGAGAGATTTCAGTCGACAAGATAAAATGAAAATACATTTTAGAAGCCACACCGGTGAAAAACCATATAAATGTACTGTATGTAATAAGTCGTTTGCTAGAAGCGATCATCGAGAGAATCACATGAAGACTCATCCCAGTCAGGACGTCTAGAAAAACAGTTAGGGGCTAGAGAGAGAGAGAGACAGAGAAATGGGGTTTAATGTGCAATCGACACAAACTAGGTCATTTTGGGACTAACATATGGTTCGATTTTATTTCAATAATTTGCTTGTGGGTAGGGGTCTTTAGCAGTGGGAGGAAACCAAAGGACCCAGAGAAAACCCACAAGGTTGGACAGGCAACTCTGAAAAATGTTACTGACAATCATGAATGACACTAGATAATCATACATTTCTGTAAACAACATGATGAGATAAATGATACTGGATAATCATACATTCCTATAAACAACATGAGATAAATGATACTGGATAATCATACATTCCTATAAACCACATGTTGAGATAAATGATACTGGATAACCATTCATTCTATAAACAACATGAGATAAATGGTACTGGATAATCATACATTGCTATAAACAACATGATGAGATAAATGATACTGATTAATCATAAATTCCTATAAACAACATGATGAGATAAATATAGAGTCTTGAAATTTGATTTGAGAATTCATATAGCATAGAAGTGACTTGATCCTTTGACAGAATTAAAACGCAAAAATAAAACAGAATATTATTTTTGAATAACCTTATCTAAATATGGGCTCCTGTTATGTGATAATTGCATAAACTGCTCCATAATGTTGTGGGGTGGTTGAGTGGCCGAATGGTTTAATGCTAGCATGTTAGATCATCAGGTCTGTCATTTGGTCAAGTAGCATAGTTTCAATTCCCTGCTTGTAGTTGTATGTGACAGGGAGTAGGGTCGTCTGTCCAAATTCATGGGTTTTCTCAAGGTCTTCCAGTTTCCTCCCACTGCAAAAGACCCCTACAGTGGGCCTACACGCAAGCAAATCATTGAAATAAAATAGAACCGTATTGTTAGTCCCAAAATGACCTAGTTAGTGTCGGATGAATGTTATACCTCATTTCTCTCTCTCTCTCTTTGATGCTTGTTCAGAAGCCAATGTAAATAAAAAGTATAAATCTTAATTTGTATTTTTATTGTGGAAATGTATAAAATGTGGATATTAAAAAGCCGACAGTACCTTGGAAGGTGCAACCAAATGCCAAGATTGATATCTGGACACAGAAAACATACCATTGCATAAATTAAAATAAAATGGGGTTGGGTGGCCGAATGGTTAACGTGTGCGCTTTTGATCATAAGGTCTGTCATTGAGTCAAATGGCATAGTTTCAAATCCCTGCTTGTACATGAAAAAGAGTAGGGTCACCTGTCCAATCTTGAGGGTATTCTCCGGGTGACCAGTTTTCTCCCACTGCTAAGCATCCCTTTTTGATAGCCAACTATTGAAGTAAAATTGAGCCATATATGTTAGTCTTGAGTGGACATTAAACCCCATTTCTCTCTCACTTTGAGCAGTTCAATGTGCTATGGACACTTAAGAAGAACATCTAGTAAAACAACTACAACTTTTTGTGTCTAAATTTTTGATACACATCAAAGATCCCTTTGGATGGAATAAAACAGAGTTAATGTTTCATTTTAGATGTTACTTAAAGGACAATATTGGTGCCAGTCATTATCGCATATGTGAAACACGTTCCAAATATTATTTTATCACAGATCATTGCTACTATAGATGAATAATCAATGTTTCAACAATAGGAAGTGACGAACGCAAAAGGAAAACACGAGTTATCCCTCTATATAACTGGCGGAAGTGACGGGTGATAACAGATACATGGGCGAATTTCTGCTCACTAAAAATTTCTTCCAAGACCAAAAGATGTTAGTGAGACTGTAAGAATATATCTGACAATTCAAAAAAGTAATTGCATGTCATTAGATAAGAAATCACAAGAAAAATAGAAACAGTCTGTACATTTACGGGTGTTTATTCATTCTATACTTATAAAAACATGGTAATGCACAGACTTTTTCTATTTTACTTTCATGTTCTCTTATCTAGTGAGAGTCAATTTTGTTTATGAATTGTCAGATATCCTTTCAGTCCCATACAACAACTTTTGGTCTTCGAAGGAATTATTAGTGAGCAGAAATTCGCCCATGTATCTGTTATCACCCGTCACTTCATTCAGTTATATAAAGGGATAACTCGTGTTTTCCTTTTGCGTTCATCACTTCCTATTGTTGAAACATTGATTACTCATCTATCGTAGCAATGATCTCTGTGATAAAATAATATTTGGAACGTGTTTAACCAGTTCTATCACATATGTAATAATGACTGACGCCAATATTGTCCTTTGATTCATGAGACTAACATACATGAAATGAAAATATTTCCTGGGCAACAGTGTTTCTAACTTCCAGACTCACACCAACCCCAGGCAAGTGAACACAGGAATTCAAACAGTTGTTTGGAAACAATGGTGTCAAAACAAAAGTCTCTGCCTCAATTTTTATGTCACCTTCATTAAAATAAAATAGGAGACATGGTGGCTAAGTGGGTAAGATGCTGGCTCGCTAGCTAGGAGGTCGCGTGTTCGATCCATGCATTGACCGAGAAAGTTCATCTGGATTTTCTGACGTGTTTTCCCCTTGTCAGTGGTGCAGGACGGAGGGCCTGACAAGGACAGCTGTCTAGTCATTCGGATGAAACGAAGAACCGAGATCTTGTGTATACATTGGCGTGCACGTAAAAGATACCTTGGCAGTCAGAATTCGATATAAGAGTAGGCCATAGTGCTGCTGCCTGGGCAAAATTTCTCTCATAGCCTAGTCAGAGCAGAACAGTAGGACTTTAAACCCGATTTCATGTCACTTCATTTAAAATAAAATAAAAAATCACTGCAAAACACCTCACCTACATGTACAAGGCTACAAGCCATTATGAAAACAGATTGGCTTTTGTGCAGAAACTGTGTTGTAGATTATCTCATTTAAATTATCGACAAAATTACATGAGTTAGTCCTCAAACATCTCGAGCGTGTTGAATTGACGATTAACCCGTCCCCACATTAGTCCAGAGACTAAAAGTCATGTATGAATTACTCGGGTTGGGAAGATCCATGTCTATAGTATATATACATCCAAATTCTGAATAAATGTAAAATGGCCGGTACATTATTTCTGTAACTTGGGACATGTAGTATTTATTTGTTTTTATTAATAGGGGTGTGATTGCAATCAGAAGAATGCCGTACTGTATTGTACCAGGTTGTAGCCATTACGAATTAGCACAAAGAATTGGGATACCTTTCCATACTTTCCCTAAAAATAAAAAACAACGTCAACAGTGGCTTTTGAAAATAAACAAACAAAATTACCCGATTGATACACCGCTGGACAAATTAAAGAACCATCGTGTTTGTGGTAAACACTTTGTACCCTCAGATTATGAGAGAGACTTCCGTAGCGAATTGATCGGTGGAAAACCCCAGCATGCATTAAAAAAGGATGCTGTTCCAAGTGTGTTTTTCAAATCTGATCCCGAACAAGAATCTGAAAACACTAAACGCTTAAAACGGAGTTCAAGTTCAAAAGTACCACCCAGCAAAAGTAAAGATCGTCAACGGAAGTTACCTTCCACTAGTTTTAGTTCTGGGTCTTTACTTCGGCAACAGCTGTCTACAATTAGCCAACCTGTTCAGCTACAGCAGTCCGCATATTGCATACCTGCACCTGTTGAAGTACAAGTAAGTTCGGTAATAACTAAGTTAAGCTTACAGTATGTTCTGTTATTGTGCGCTATTTCGTGACAAGTAATCAGTATATATGTTAATTCATTGGGGTTGCATGATTTACCCAAATCTGCCCGAATCCACCATTATTTTAACTCAAGTCATCTCGCATTTTGAGGGTCATTTTGACACAAAAAAGATTCAATTAAATTAGAAATGACAATTTGGCATAAAAAAATCGATATAAATTTTCATGATGAGTTCAAAATATGGTGGATTTGGTTAGATTTGGACTACAAATGTGCACATTGGTAAGGATGTAAAAGAAGCCTTGATCATGATGGCAGATTTGACAATAGAAAAAAACAGTATGTCAATATGGAAATGACAACCCCTTTCTGTTATTTTAAAGAGAGAAATGGGGTTTAACATGCACTCGACACAAACTAGGTAATTTCAGGATTAACATATGGTTCAATTTTATTTGAATAATTCACCAAGGCTTAGGGGTCTTGCAGCAGTGGATGGAACCCAGAGAAACCCCACAAGATCGGACAGGCAACCCTACTCCTTGTCACGTACAAGCGGGAAATCAATACCATGCCACTTGACTCAATGACAGACCTTATGATCAAATGCGCATGTGTTAACCATTCGGCCACCCAACCCCATCCGTTATTTAAAGATGGTGTCAGTATTAAATGTGATGAAAGAATATTATTTTATATTTGTAGGTTACAAATGATGTTCATGAATGTCTCATATGTGATGAAATATTTCTACAATATACAGACTTGGAAAACCATAACAAAATCCATGTTAAAGAAGAGAACTATGAAGATATTAAAACATTTCATCAATGTGTAGTTTGTGATGAAATTTTCCAACAACCCCATGAGTTAACAATCCATAATAAAATTCATGTGAAAGAAGAAAAAACTGATGAGGACTTAGCTATGAAATGTCAAGAGGCGGTTATTGGCGTAGAAAGTAATAATGAAGTACGTGTTGAATATGTTACAACTGATGAGGTTACCATGGATGGGTTTGAAATACCGGTGGATGGATTAAAACACAGTCAAATACATGTTAAAGATATGAAAACTGATGATGATAGCATGGACGAGTTCGAAGACCTGGTAGATGGATTTAAGCTCAGTAATAATTTACATGTTAAAAAAGAGGCATCCATAGCAAGTGCATCACACCTGTGCACAGCTGGTAAAATTAGTTTTATGCAATACAGTGTCCTGGAGCAACATGTTAAAGAAGAGGAGTGTGTAGCAAGTAATTCACACCAGTGTACTGTTTGTAAAATTAGTTTTATGCGATACAGTGACCTGGATCAACATACATGTAGTAGCAGTGATTCAATGGATGGGGTAAAGTGTGTAACAAGTGTTGTGTATCTTGATGAGGCAGGATTAGAGTTAAAAACCGAAAAACCTAAAAGTGAAAGTAGCAATCAACAAAGACAAAATAAAACTACTTGCAATGCTGAAGAAATGCCATTCCAATGCAATATTTGTCAAAAATTATTTCAATTTGAATCTCATTTACACAGACACACGAAAATTCATACCGTAGAAATGCCTTTCCAATGCAACATTTGCCAAAAATTATTTCAGCTTGAATCTCATTTACAGGAACACATAAAAAGCCATGCAGAAGAAAAACTTTTTGAATGTGATGTTTGTAATAATGCATTTAGTCAGAATGAGAACCTACAGCGACATCTTAAAACTCACATCGGCGAGAAACCGTGTAAGTGTGAAATTTGTTCCGAATCATTTAGTTGTTTAGAACAGCTACAAAACCATTTCAAGATACACTCTAAAGATAAGCCTTATAAATGTGATGTTTGTGATCAATCATTCGCTGGACATTTTGCTCTAGAAAAACACATGAAAACGCACATTGTGGACAAACCCTGTCAGTGTGGGGTGTGTGGGAAGTCATTTGATGATAAACCCAAGTTACTGACACACATGAGAATTCACACAGGTGAAAAGCCCTTTATATGTGATGTCTGTGGTAAAACATTTAGACAACTCGGCCATCTTAATAGTCACGGAAGAACTCACGCAAGCGTGAAATCACTGGACTGCGAATTTTGCGGAGAATCTTTCAGGCTGAATAACCATCTTCGAGCGCACATTAAAACTTATCATACGGGAGAGAAAACATTTCCGTGTGAATACTGCGATAAGTCGTTTAATCGTAAAGGTCATCTAGACGAGCACACTCGCGTCCATACAGGTGAAAAACCCTTCCAGTGTGGGGTTTGTGGGAAGGCTTTTAGTAATAAGAGTCATTTACACGGACATATGAGGACACATACCGGCGAGCGACCCTATCAATGCACAATCTGCAGCAAATATTTCAGAGAGACGTGCAGTCTACAGAGACACATCAAGACCCACAACAAGAAAACGCCTTATAAATGCGGGGAATGCAACAGGTCGTTTACTTTTAAAACTGATTTGCAAGTCCACATACGAACACACACGGGGGAGGCCATCTTTGATTGTGATGTTTGTGGTAAATCATTTACTTTGAAAAGTTTTTTATTAAAGCATGTGAGGATTCATATGAAGCAAACCTTTAAATGTGATGTATGTGGTATATTTTTCAGTACGGAAGATTTACTGAAAAAGCACAGTGAAACCCATAATAAAGTGACTGACAAACAGGTTGTGAAGTAAGCATAGATTCCACGGACCATTGGGAGGTTGGGTGGTCAAATGGTTGACATGTTTGCATTGCATCATAAAGATCTGTCATTTAGTCAAACACAGTGAAACCCATAATAAAGTGACTGACAAACAGGTTGTGAAATAAGGATCGATTCCACGGACAATTGGGAGGTTGGGTGGCCAAATGGTTAACATGTTTGCATTGCATCATAAAGATCTGTCATTTAGTAAAACACAGTGAAACCCATAATAAAGTGACTGACAAACAGGTTGTGAAATAAGGATCGATTCCACGGACGATTGGGAGGTTGGGTGGCCAAATGGTTAACATGTGCACATTGCATCATAAAGATCTGTCATTTAGTCAAGTGGTGTGGTTTTGATTCTCTGCTTGTTGTATGTGACAAGGAGACAAGGAGTAGGGCTGCCTCTCTGACCTTGTGGGTTTTCTCTGGTTTCCTCACTCTGCTAAAGACCCACCCCTATTCGCTAGCAAATTTTTGGTATAAATTTGAATCATATGTTAGTCCCAAAATGACCTAGTTTGTGTTGAGTGGACATTAAACCCTATTTCTCTCTCTCCACCAACTATTATTGGAATGAATCAAAGCCAACTAACTGTAAGATATATAAAACTTTTGCCTTACCTTCACAGTGTTAATGTTTATATCACCATTAAAGTCAATGTCGTCACAGTAACAGGTCAGTAACCAGTCTGGTGTAAACATCTCATCAACATTGTTATGGTTCTGTGTATGTTTGGGAACTGGCATGCCAACATGTACTTACAGACAATTCTTATACCAGTTTGGCTTATGTTCATTTTGTGCTATGAGTGAACAATTTGATTAAAATACAGACTTATATTTCATTTTGTTTTTTTATACTTTCGATGGCCTCTACTACATGTACGTAAAGGTCTGACCGGTTGTAGTGGAATGTCGCGTCAGAGATCATACGAGCGGCTTCTGACTGACCCTATGTCGTCAGATTAACCAATAAGCGTTGATGTTTCTAGTGGGTTACCCAGAGTTCCGTGCACCACACACCAAAAAATTGCTGTAACATCATCCAGAACGCGGGTTATATACAACTTTTCCAGATCCTAGTGTAGTAAAGACAAATAAAACGAAATTTTGAACTATCAAAAACATAACGAAATAGGATCTGTGTTTTGATCAGATTAATGAGTGAAGTACTGGTAGTCTTTTGGGCGTATTTCACTGTTTTTGTTGTGTTTTGGCTAAATATTTTACCACTGTTACTGTTTCATGATTATAAAGGGATTTTTTAAAAAAATTCTTGTTGTTATTTTTTTGGGATGGCTGTGTATTTCAACGCTTGTGATTTTTTAAAAATATGTAGTTATCAATAATCTCACTTTTATTGGTCTGTTGACCTATAACTTGCTCCAAGCACTTATTAATGGCTTCAGGGCCAGCCTTACAAGCTACAGGTCCAACTATCGCTTGTGTCAGATGACGTCACATATTTTGACACAATGCCTGATACTGATGAGGCTCACTAGCCTGGAGGTCGCATGTTCAATCCCTGCATTGGCCGAGAAAGTTCATCTAGATTTTTCGATGTGGTTTCCCCTTGTCAGTGGTGCAGGACAGAGGGCTTGACAAGGACAGTTGTCTAGTCGTTCGGATGGTACAGAAAACAGAGGTCCTGTGTACACATTGGCATGCACATTAAAGATCCCTTGGCAGTTGGAATTCGATAATAAGAGTAGAGCATAGTGCCGCTGCCCTAGCAAAATTTCCCTCACAGCACACTGTATGGCGTATGCCCGTCTTCATGCCCAGTCAGGAGCAGAACAGTACGATGTTAAACCCCATTTCACTTCATTTCATTTCTGATACTGATGGCCTTCATAAGTCGGACCAACAAACACACATGCAGTTATAATTTAATTCGAACCTCTTTGAATAATAAACATGTTTACCAAAGTTTTCAAGTATTTTTTTTTTTACGGAAAATGTTTTGTCTGCTATTCAAATATCCAGCAGAATATTCAGTGGTATACATGTAGCTAATTAAAACAATGGCTGTAAAACAACATTAAAGAAACTAAACAGGGTAAGGGCTTAAATTGAACACTTTCAAATTTCAAAAGACATCAAAACTAGTTCTCGAAATTATACTTTGAATACATGTACATGTAGGGCCAGTATAAATCCCACAATTCTGAATATTGAACTGAACGAATCTATATAGTCAAATTTTATACCGGTATGTTTGGCTGGTAATGTGTCTAGGCATTTATTTTAAGAGGAATTTCCTTATTCCAGGGGCAGAGCCTGCAACCAGTGGTGGCGCCAGCCGTCGGTGGTTGGAAGGGCAAAGTCCAAGGTTAAGGGGGCAAAGGCACGAATTTCAACTAGGGGTGGGGGGGGGCTCCCCCAGAAAATTTTGAAAAACAGGTTGCCGGAAATGCAGCCTGGCAGTATTTCAGGCACTGATCGTTGAGTTAAAGTGTCAAACGAACGGACTTGCGAACTTCGACAAAGCCCACTCACGAGCGTCAAAGTAGGGAGTCCTTACAGAGGGTATGGGGGACCTCCCCCAGAAAATATGAGCGCCAAAGTAGCGAGTCCTTGTGTGGGGTATTAGGGACTTCCCCAAGAACATTTTGAAAAATTGACTGTCGGAAATGCTCTACAACATGCAAATCTACGACTGAGTGGGGATGTGGGATTTATTCACCATAGAAGGCATTGATTACCAAAACGTACCACAAATATTTTTTTTTATTTTCTAAAATTATTGGAGGGAGGGAGGAGGGCAAACAGAGAGCAGACCAGATTTATGGGGGGGGGGGGGAAAATGCTCCCTCTTGGCGGCGCTACAGGCTGCAACGAAATAAGCTTGCATCGGGGCCCCAGGGTGAAAATGTCACCGGAGATCTTGCATCAACAGTGGAAAGGGGTTATACATGTATTCTGTTCATTGTTCGTCACACAATTTGTATGTCAGTATTGTAAACAAATAAAATGACATACCTTATATAAAATATTTAGAACTAATTTGGGGCCCTTGGCTGCAGCCCTGTTACACACCCCTGTCACACACCCCTCACCCACACCTTGGCAGAGCGCAGGTATGGAAAGTGTTTTATACATGCCTACCATTGCATTATTATTTATATCATGAAAGGGGCTTTTCATCCATCCGAACCACTAGGTGTTGTTTCTTGCAAGGACCTCAGCTTTTCTCTCTATCCGAATGACTAGACACTCTTTCTTGTCAGGTCCTGGTTCTTAGAGCTGACCAATTACGGGGTCGAACTAGTGTCTTATTAGCTCACTGGTTCTGACAAAATGAAAAATGTAGTGGTCAAGGACGGAATGAAATATATAAAATAAATATAACCCACATTTCAGATCCCAACAATAAATCAGTGTCTGAAATATCATTAGGAATTAGCATGATGTAGTAGTCTTCGATCCTTTCAATGCATGCTGAAGTGAATCACTTTAGCTAATGCCAGGTTCAAATGTAGGGGGAAAATAATATCATTTGTTCACCCTCATCTAGTCTGGCTGCAATATTATAAGAACATTTTGATTTGAATTTCAAGCTTGGTTTGTCCGGTTATGAGTCGGGTTCTAGTAATTGTGAATTATTCGGGTTGTATTATACAGCTCCTATTCCAAATTGAGGATACAACCGAGTGATATGTAAACAAAGATGGCGTCGATGAAAAAAAAGTAAATAAAGAAAAAATAATAATCCCAACCGTAAATAATTAAAACAAAGGGTTTAGTAGTAAAATTTGGGCGACAGGGTGGTTAACAAGTCATGCGGGGATCGCGCAAATCAGACTGATGTGAAATGAGAAATGGTAAGTGAAATTTATATGTTGAGACAACTCATGACCGACCAGATTTGGAGAGGAGCCACTTCAATTTTTTTCACAAGAAATAAATTTAGTAGTTTTAGAATATATTATTTTTTTTTGTTTGGTTTTTGTTTTTTTGTCGCTAACTAACTTGTCACTCGTAATTGAATACCCTTGGTCCTTATTATTTTGATCCATATGAATATCGTGATATGAATCAATATTATAAAACAGTTTTATTTCTTTGACTTCAGAAGGACTAAAAATTCTCCCCATAAAAATATCAATTATTCATTTATCCTGTTGTTTTCTTAGTAAATATTGACCTGGTTATGAATCGCGACACGAATCGTAACCTAGTACCTATCATATCGTGACTGCAGTCACAATATATGCAATATATAGCCTACCCAGCACTACTATCAAGCCAAGCCAATAAATACAGCACAGTAAGCTACATGTACAATGTAGGCCTACAATCAATATACATGTACATTTCTGTAGGCCTACATGTACTAACAGATACATGTAAAAATGAAATGAGGTTTAGTGTTCTGACTGGGCTAATGAAGACGGGCATACGTCATACAGTGTGCTTTGAGGGAAATTTTGTGCTACAGCCTACTCTTATATCAAATTCCAACTACCGCAAGGATTCTTTTACTTGCATGCTAATTTGTACATGGGAGCTTAATTTTTTTTCCCGTTCTGCACCACTGACAAATGGAAAATTTTGATGAACTTTCTCGGCCAATAACCCACGACCTTCGGGCTAGCGAGCCAGCATCTTACTCACTTATCCACCATGGCTCCCACATATATGTAAGATAGGAAAGCATGTTGCGTCACCTTCCTGTGCATGCTCATGTTGAAACAGCAAACCAAAGAGTATGCCTACTTTTCATTTTAAAACTTTAAGATTTACAAATATATTTGATGTGTTCATGTATACTTTAATAATTTTTTTTATTATATTATTTGTGTTTATTACAGGAAATTAATGATAAGAGTGATGTTCAAAATCAGATCTTTCATGAATACAGCAAGCATGAAATCCACAATCAGATACATATAAAACAAGAACATACTCACAATGTTAAATACAAGAACAAAATACGTGTTAAAGAGGAGAAAACTGATGATGATACTTTAGAGGAAAACTGTCAACTTCGATTTGAGGAGGTGGAAAAAATGTTTAATGAGTGTAATTTGTGTCATGGAAGGTTCAAATCTTACACCGAGTTAGAAGAACATTGGCAATTTCATATGAACGAATGGGAATCTACCGGTACATCTGAGGATGATCACAATCAGTTTACACTTGTTGGTAACAACACAATCCCTTCTGATGAAAAATTAAGGGTAGATATTCAGTCTAAATCAGAAAGGGCTCCAGAAAGGGCCCCAGAAAGGGCTCCAGCAAAGGAGAAACCCTTTATATGTGCTGTTTGTAGGAAAACATTTGGTAATAAAGGACATCTACATGAACATATTCGAAAAAGACCTTACGAATGTGATGTTTGTGAGAAGACATTTATGAGAAATAATAATTTGATACGTCATCTCAAATCTCATCCAGAACGAAAACTTTTCGAATGTGAATATTGTGGAAAACTCTTCAGCACTGATGATCATTTAAAATACCACATACACGTTCACACAAACGAGAAAATATTTCATTGTGAAACTTACAAGAAGTCGTTCTGTTACAAATGTAACTTAAAACGGCACAAAACAACCCATTCGGAAGACGGAGCGCTTTATAAATGTGATATTTGTGCTAAATGTTTTCTAGTGGGTTGTGATTTAAGGAGACATGTTCGAAAACACGCAGGTGAAAAATGTGACATTAGTCAGAACAGTAATCCCCAAAGACATATAAACAGCCATACCGATGAAAAGACATTTCTGTGCGACTTTTGTAATACATCCTTCAAGGAAGATAACAAACTGCAATGTCACATGAGAAGACACAGTGTTGAAAAACTGTATAAATGTAGGGTCTGTAATAAACTGATGCAGAGTAAAAGTCATTTCCATGATCACATGAGAAGTCATACATTGTACCAGCGATAAACCATTCCATTGTGATATTTGTAATATTTCTTTTGCTTGGTTCAGAAGTTTCAAGAAACACTGCAAAGCAAAACATGAAGGTCCCAGATTGCAAAATGGAGTAAGTACAATACATAAATATATGTTAAAGTTAAATTATAAGTAAATTTATTATCCACATTGATTTAAAGTTAAATTGAAAGTACATATATTTCTACAAGATTAAACTATCGACTTTGATTATTGTAGCTACATGTACATTGTTATTAATTTATAACAACAAACCACGAAAAATCAAGGACCTGTGTATACATATTGGCATGCACATAAAAGATCCCTTGGCAGTTGGAGTTTGATATAAGAGTAGGCCATAGTGCTGCTGCCCGGGCATAATTTCCCTCATAGCACACTGTATGGCATATGCCTGTCTTCATTGGCATGCAGGTAAAAGAGGAGGCCATAGTGCCGCTGCCTGGGCAAAATTTCCCTCATATCACACTGTATGGCATATGCTCGTCTTCATCAGCCCAGTCGGAGCAGAACAGTAGGATGTTAAACCCCATTTCATTTCATTTTCAATCCAAAAGATAGACCTGCAATAGACAGATTTAGCTTTTACATAATGTATCTTTAATTAATGCAACAGTTTAGGTAAAATACATGTAATGATATTATAACTTTTATATTTTTTACGAAACTAATGACCTTAAAACTTTCCATCAATGTGATGTATGCAATGAGGTTTTTCAACAAAACAGTGATTTTGAAAAACACAACAAAATACACATCAAAGAAGAAAAGTCTGATGATACAGAAAACCACAGTAAAATAGATTTTAAAGAAAACACTGATGATGAAGATAATCAAATTTTTTATGAAAAGAAAACATCTGGTGAAGTTAAAACTTACCAATGTAGATGTAATTTGTGCCATGAAAGGTTTAGATCTTGCACTGAGTTAGAAGAACATTGGAAAGTCCATGCCAAGGATTGGGAATCTGCTGGTACGTCAAGTGATGATCCTGAACAGGTTACGTCTGATAGAGTTGATTTAAACGACGCAATTCCTTCTGGTCCGCGTGGACACCAATCAAGTGTAGATATTCAAGCTAAATCCAAAAGGGCTCCAGAAAGAGCCCAGAAAGGGCTCCAGAGAAGGAGAAACCCTTTATATGTGGAGTTTGTGGGAAATGTTTTGGGGGTAAAGGTCATCTACACGAACACATTCGAATACATACAGGTGAAAAACCCTTTAAATGTAATGTTTGTAATAAATCATTTAGTCGACACAATAAATTAATTAGTCATATAAAATCACATCCCAAAGGTAAACTGTATAAATGTGATGTTTGTAATAAATCATTTAGTCCACACAATAAATTAATTAGTCATATAAAATCACATCCCAAAGGTAAACTGTATAAATGTGATGTTTGTAATAAATCATTTAGTCCACACAATAAATTAATTAGTCATATAAAATCACATCCCAAAGGTAAACTGTATAAATGTGATGTTTGTAATAAATCATTTAGTCGACACAATAAGTTAATTAGTCATATAAAATCACATCCCAAAGGTAAACTGTATAAATGTGATGTTTGTAATAAATCATTTAGTCGACACAATAAATTAATTAGTCATATAAAATCACATCCCAACAGTAAACTGTACGAATGTGATGTTTGTAATAAATCATTTAGTCGACACAATAAATTAATTAGTCATATAAAATCACATCCCAACGGTAAACTGTACGAATGTGATGTTTGTAATAAATCATTTAGTCGACACAATAAATTAATTAGTCATATAAAATCACATCCCAACGGTAAACTGTATAAATGTGATGTTTGTAATAAATCATTTAGTCGACACAATAAATTAATTAGTCATATAAAATCACATGCCAAAGGTAAACTGTATAAATGTGATGTTTGTAATAAATCATTTAGTTGACACAATAAATTAATTAGTCATATAAAATCACATCCCAAAGGTAAACTGTACGAATGTGATGTTTGTAATAAATCATTTAGTCGACACACTAAATTAATTAGTCATATAAAATCAGATCCCAACGGTAAACTGTACGAATGTGATGTTTGTAGTAAATTGTTCAGCTCTGGGCCCTGTTTCACGAAATTTTAACTAAAGATAAAATCCAAATTTTAGTAGATACTTCAATTTTGATTGGCTAAGCACTAAAATCAATCTAATATTATCCAATCAAATTACTAAAATTTGGATTTTATCTTAGTTAAAATTTCGTGAAACAGGCCCCTGATGCCGATTTACAGTATCATGTTCGTGTTCATACGGGTGAGAAAGTTTTCCACTGTGAAATTTGCAGCAAATCTTTCCTTTACAATAGTCAGCTGTATAGACACACGATACAGATTCATAAAACCACCCCAGATGAAGGACGACCGTATAAATGTGATATTTGCGGGAAATCGTTCATCGCTATTTGCGATCTTACGAGACACGCCAGAAGACATACCGGAGAAAAAACCTTTCAGATGTGACATTTGTAACCTGTCGTTTGGTTGGTCGAGTGGTTTAAATAAACATTGCAAGGTCAAACACCAGGGGAGGAATCCTGCGATTTTAAAACGTTAATAAAATACCTTCTCAGTTACATGTATCATGGGACACCATGAATAAAAGTAGGACTTAAAAATTTTAATATCCCAAATCCATTGAGACAAGTTATACGTATATTTCAATATGAGAAGAGAGAGAGAGAGAAATGGGGTTTAGCGTCCACTCGACACAAACTAGGTCATTTCGGGACTAACATATGGTTAAATTTTATTTCAATATTTCGCTTGCGCGTAGGGGTCTTTAGCAGGGGGAGGAAACCGGAGGACCCGGAGAAAACCCACATGGTTGGACAGGCGACCCTACTCCTTGTCACATACAACCGGGGATTCGAAACCACGCCAGTCGACTCAATGACAGACTTTATGATACAGCGCGTGCACGCTAACCATTCAGCCATCCAACCCCCCTCAATATGAGAAGAGGGGCAGCAACACTCCCTTGACAAGGTGACTAAAGCTGGACAGTCTGATACATCTGCTTGGGTACTGGATCAGGAAAATGATACTGGTGGGGCAAAAGAGTAAATAAAATAAATTCAAGAATCCTCAATCAACAGCAGAACAACAGACTTGGTAGCAGTGACGATTTATTAATTGATAACGTTTCAGGTTGTGATGATTTGAAAAAAGGTATCAAAACCTGAAACATATCATTTAATAAATCTTCACTGTTGAGCGGGATTCTTTAATTCAAGTTATATATTACAACACAACGCAAATTGCATCTTTTATTGTATGGAGCATATCTATTGGGTTGGGTGATTTAATGGTTTAACATGTGTACGTGAAATCACACGGTCTGTCATTGAATCAAGTGGTGGGATTTCGATTGCCAGCTTTTTATGTGACAAGAAATAGGTTGCCTGTCCAAACTTGTGGGTTTTCTCTGGGTCCTCTGGATTCCTCCCACTGCTAAAGACCCCTATGCCTATATGTTGGTCCTTGAAATGACCTACTGTTATTTTGTGTTGAGTGGACGTTACCTCTCTCTCTCTCTCTTTTCATAATAAGTTTCCTCCCATTGAACCATATGTTGGGCTTAACATGACCTAGTTTGTGTTGAGTGAATGTTAAACCCCATTTCTCTCTCTCTTAAAATCAAGCAATGAAATATACCTGTAGCTCAATAAACCCAAAAAACTTAATATGAAACACAATTACTATTTTGATTGAATTGTTGAAAGAACCCTCAAGAAAATATCGCTTTAATTGAAATAGTAATTTTGTGTTCCATATTATGTTTATTACAGGTATGTGTGTCAATTGCTAAATGCTGATCAAAGAAGATACCTGTAGCCTCTTTAGTTTGTCTTAAAATTTCAAATCAAATTACTGATTCATTCGAATATGTTTTCTAGATTTGCATCACAGCGTAACTTATTAATCCGGTATTCTAGATTCATAGAATTGGCTTAGGTGTGCCAAAGGTTTAAAGGCTTTGATGTTGAAACCACTCGTTGACGAAAAAAGTTCATCAGAATTTTCCGGCGTGGTTCCTGCTTGTCAGTGGTACGGGACTGAGGGTCTAGTCATTCGGATGGAACGGAAAACTGTGCATGGTAAAGATATAAGAGTAGGATGTAGTGCAAAATTTTCCTCATAGCACATGGCATGGCGTATGCCTGTGCTCATTAGCCTTTAGGACTTTAAACCCCATTCTATTGACCTAATCTGTAAAATACTGTGGACATAATTTATAAATAACCTTTATAGTTAGGATTAAATCCTGCTGGCTTGACAGTCATGAAATAGAATGCCAACAGTGTCTAGTTGTTCCAATGGTTACAAGAAACTGAGGTGCTGTGCATGCAAAAGTTGGAATTTGAAATAAGAGTAGGCAAAATTTGCCTCCTTGTCCCTTGCGCACTGTATGGTGTATGTCAGATTGTTGCACAAAAGTTGACATTAAACCCTATATCATTTCATTTTAAATTGGTTTTAAAATTATTTGCAAATAAAACTTTTAAAAAATATCGTTTTTACTGTTCATCAGAGGTAAACTAATGATTTAATTTTTCCAAAATGTCTGGTTCCAATTTTAGTTGGATCCACGTGGGTCAGTGGGTGAAGTGCTAACTTGCGAACCTGGTGGTCCTGGGTCCAATCCTGGTGTTGGTCAAGAAATTTCCTGAGGATTTTCTGGCGTGGTTTCCCCATGTCAACGGTGCCAGACGGAGGGCAAGTAACAACTCTATCATTCAGATGAAATGAAAAACTGAGGTCCTTTATCCATGTTGCCGTGACAGTTGAAATTCCAGATAAGAGAATACCATAGCCACTCTCCTGTTTTGTTTTCTTTTCATTTTCAATATTTGGGTAAAACTACTGTAAAAAAAATGACCGGTTTGTGGATGGGTTCTATTTTTTAGTCTTTCTGTTTTGATCTGCTTTGTTGTTTTTTTTAAATTGATTGAATTGTTGTGAGTAGTCATATTATGCCATTGTCATACATATCCCAAGAGAACAGATACCAATTAAATCTCGAAATTGAAATTATTACCCGGGTAAATTGAGAACAGGTTTATATATTTAAATTATGAATCACTCGGGTTTGGGCGGATCCAAGCGAAAATCGCATATACAACAAAGTATGATTAAATTAAAGATGGCGTCCATTTATTATATAATGGATCTTTATAGGTTGGACAGATGTGTGCTTCAGATGGGATATTAACTCAATATAAGCCATTTATTTGACCCCCTTGATGGAATGGTCAAGAGAAATAGAGGTAAACTACCCGTCGCAATAAACTACTGTACTTTCAGAAACAACAAATGAAAGAAACCAAAGAACTGAAGCGGGAATGGTAAGGGTAAGGATCTAACAATTATATAACATTTACTTTAATTCATGCATGCGTAACCATAGAAAAGAAAATTAGGGTATGGTGGTTTCAAAATTTCGTTTAAGCCATTTCAGAGCGGAAGCACGGTTTACCTTAATCCACCATTATTTCAACTCTATAATATTAGGAAGTGGATATTTAACCGTATACGGCAAAGTATCTACTTCCGCTATTTTACCGTACATCGTTTCTGATTGGCTAATTTGTATGATGATGTCATACCTTATTCAAAATGGAGGAAAGTTATGTTCTGAAAATAGGAGATAAATTTGATTCGTTTAAAGCCGTTGAAAATGCCATTTCAAAGTTTGAGTCATTACAAAAAGTATCTTACTGGAGGCGTGATTCACGAACAATAAAATGTATGTTAAAACGTGGTTATAAGTGTGTAGAAAATGAAGATTTGAGGTACTATGACGTCACGTATAGTTGTGTTAAAGGTGGACGTGCATACAATTCAAAGTCATCCGGAGTTCGACCTAATCAGAGGCAAGTTTTTTTACAATTTTTTTATACGCCCACATTTAAATGTGGTCGTATATTGTCATCGCCCCCGTCCGACCGTCAGTCCTCTAGAAGCTAAAGTTAATATCTGATTGACGACGAAGAAGCCTATTGATTTTCAGCGATTTCCGATTATTACTGCCAGAGTTATGGCCCTTGATCACTTCAAAAAATCTTGTGGATGCTCTAGAGGTCAAAGTTAATATCCGATTGACTTTAAATTAATACACAGTGTTTAAGGTCATGCGACAATTTTTAGCAATTTCCGATAATTACTGCCAGAGTTATGGCCCTTGATCCCTTTGAAAAATCTTGTGGACGCTCTACAGGCCAAAGTTAATATCCGATTGGCTTTAAATTCATACACAGTGTTTAAGGTCATGAGACGAAGAAGCCTATTGATTTTTACTGCCAGAGTTATGGCCCTTGATCACTTTGAAAAATCTTGTGGACGCTATAGAGGCCAAAGTTAATATCCGATTGACTTTAAATTTATACACAGTGTTAAAGGTCATGAGACGAAGAATCCTATTGATTTTCAGCGATTTCCGATAATTACTGCCAGAGTTATGGCCCTTAATCACTTTGAAAAATCTTCTGGACACTCTAGAGGTCAAAGTTAATATCCGATTGACTTTAAATTTATACACAGTGTTTACGGTCATGAGACGAAGAAGCCTTTTGATTTTCAGCGATTTGCGATAATTACTGCCAGAGTTATGGCCCTTGATCACTTTGAAAAATCTTGTGGACGCTCTAGAGGCCAAAGTTAATATCCAATTGACTTTAAATTTATAATCAGATTTTAGTGTATTATAAATGTTTCATTACCGAAAATTAAAAATATGCGACAACTCTTGTTGACTGCCAGGACGATTTAGCTGCTGTGGGCGTATGTTTCATTGCCTGGCAACCTATCTTTGAAATATTTATAATTTTGTAGGGAAGCCTTTTGTAACTACTAGACAACGGTTATTATTCAAGGTGATCTGGTAAAACTCGCGAATTTTTTCTCTTCCAATTCAATTCAATTTATTTACATGGATTCATCATTATCAAGAAGGTTGTCAATGGATACAACGATTATGGCACCGAAGATCGACTTTGCAGGCAACATCTAACATATTTAGACCTAGGCCTATACCTGGTGATAATTTGAAGGCAAAATCAGGCCCATCTACAACAATTTTTTTTTTCAATCATGCTATTAACTAAGAGGAAACATTTGGAAAGTGGCCATTTGATTCATGATGGTACTGTAGACATGCTTTTGGTTCCGATTCTAATTTTCGGCCCTTACCTAGTTCTTATTTCAGTAATTCTAATTTTTTTTTTAATTGTGGTTTATATTGACATTGTAGGACATTCAGAGATGGCTGTAACTCACTTATTAAATTCAAGTTGGTTGCTGACAAATTAGTTGTACATCAGTTAGATACTTGCCATAATCATCCAGTTAATGAGGTAAGCTCTCGATTCTTTACCAGTGACCTAGTAGCTCATAAGTAGTCCAGCTCTGAACGTAGGTCTCATTACACTCGCCTCTACGTCCAGGGAACGTGTTATTGAAGCCTTGGCGAAAAAGTTTGGCTTCCCAGTCAATTTTACTGGGCAACTTTTTACTGCGAAACGGTCGCGTGTCAGTCCCCGTGAACGCCTGAACAATATAAATGAAAATCTTAGTGAGAAAATAAGACATTGCTAACCTCGCTAGAGTCAGTATGAGCGACACAACACACTGTTAAAAAATATGTCTCCGTCTTCTAACCGACTTGGCGGACATCATTGAAAGGGTAACGCACAAATTTAAGAACTTGGCCATATAAGATGAAACAAAATTTAAGAAAGCCTGGGAGAAAAAAAATGAAATCTTTGAAAAGTTGAGAATCTTCAGTGATTTATTGCTTTGCCTAGCTAAATTACAATAATTTACAATCAAATTCTTTCAAAAATCCCAATTTTTTCGCACCAGGCTTACCTAAATTTTGTTTCATCTTATATGGCCGAGTTCTTAAATTTGTGCATTACCCTTTCAATGATGTCCGCCAAGTCGGTTAGAAGACGGAGACATATTTTTTAACAGCGTGTTGTGTCGCTCATACTGACTCTAGCGAGGTAAGCAAGGTCTTATTTTCTCACTAAGATTTCCATTTATACTGTTCAGGCGTTCACAGGGACTGACACGCGACCGTTTCGCAGTAAAAAGTTGCCCAGTAAAATTGACTGGGAAGCCAAACTTTTTGCCAAGGCTTCAATAACACGTTCCCTGGACGTAGAGGCGAGTGTAATGAGACCTACGTTCAGAACTGGACTAGCTCATAAGCTGCTGTTTTTTGGCATAAAAAAGTTTTTGCTTAAATCATTTTTCAGGATTGGTTCCAGCATTTACCGAAGAGGCGTAAATTTTCTGGTGAAGAAATGACAGAAATCTCAAACGTCCTACAAGTGCAGCCGAATAAAAAGATCCTTCAAGACCATATACGGAAAACAACTAGAATATGTACTACATTACGTGATTTAAGCAATCTAACTGCAAAGCTGGATCCAAAATACAGTGATCTTTCTGACTTACTTAGTAATTTAGAAAGCAGTAAGTTATTAGCAAAGTTTTTGAATGCTTTTCTTGCATCACTCAGTATCAACAGTGGCGGATGTGCCCGTTCCATTACCTTGAAAACAGCCAATTCAGGCCTGATTTTCAAATTCTAGCCTGATTTTCGTGAAAATACCTTCCAGAATAACTGATTATCGAGTCTCGTGTTCTAATGATTCAAGCATGGTTAAATGGACAATAAACCCCCTCTAAATATGTCACAGGAACGTGTTTATCGATATTGTAGCTCAAATATTTAGGAAACATTTTTACACCCATTTTAAAAAGCCGTTATTTGCCCACGTGCTTGCGTTCATTTTTCAAAGTATTTTCAATAGATTTACACTGTCCTTGTTTTCCTGCAAATTTAAAATGCTTGAGTCGCGAGTTGCTGGTAAATGAATAATGAAAGAAAATGTTATTCGGATATCGACAAAATTATCCTTGTGAACCCACCCTTTTCAAAATCCTGGATCCACCCATGATCACTTATGATGTATTACATTTGAATTATTATATTATTATTTCAGATAAAACTCTTGAAGTCTTGGCTGATGAAGACGGTACCCTGCGTGCGATATACTACCAAGATGAAGTTATGAAGAAAAAATATGATTTATTTCCAGAATTGATTATTGCAGATGCTACTTATAAACTCAATGACATGCGTATGCCGGTTTTTTTACAAATGGTAGTTGATGGTAATGGTGAAAGTGAGATCGTTTCCGTTTTTGTGTTAGTAACTGAAGATGGCGATACTATGAACTACCTGCTAGACTTGTTTAAAGGAAATAATCCGGCATGGGAGCGGACTCAGACAATCTTAACAGATAACGATTTTACGGAACGCGGCATCTATTCTGAAAAGTTCCCAGCAGCCAAATTACAGCTCTGCTTGTTTCATGTCTTACGCTCCATGAAACGTGAAATAAATTGCGAAAAGATGGGTATACGTGTTGAAGAAAAAAACTTATGTATAGAATTGATTCAAAAACTGGCATATTCGACTAATGAAGAAGAATACGAAATCAATAGGCAGGCCATTGTACAAACCAACATTCAACCAGTTATTGACTACATAAATAATTCGTGGCATGATATACGTGACCAATGGGTCATTGGTCTGAAGAATTCGTGCCATTACAGCAATAACACGTCAAACAGGGTTGAGAGCATCAACCAAAAGATTAAACAGGTCATCACAAAGTTCAGTAACCTCAAAAAGTTCTTTGATGACTTAGAACTGGTCATCAGGTGCTTAAGACAAGAAAGAGACAGTCGGATTACAAATGTAATAATGAAACGAAACTCGTCACATTATCCAAGAGATGACCCCAAGTCTAGATTTGCGGCCTTATTAACGCCTTATGCTTATCAAGTCGTACGTAAGCAAATGGAATTAGCTGATAAATTAAAGGTGTCTGGAACAGATGATAATACAGTATCAATGAAGACCACGGCCGGTATGGCAAATGTCACGTCAACTTCATGTACCTGTCAGTTCACTTCCATTAACCAGTTACCGTGCAGACACATATTTGCCTTTCGCAAGATGAAAAAAATGTATTTGTTTTTTGAAACTGGGATATCTCGCCGCTGGACACTTGAATTTTACGTGAATATGACAATGTCCACTCCGTCTGCTAGATCAGGAAACACCACTAACAATAATGTAACTCTAATGAACGGCCCAGTTGTGTTATCACAGACCCAGAAGTATCGAGTTGCTTTTCGAGAAGCTCAAAAGCTCGCAACATTGGCAAGTGAAGGATCAACACAAAAATATAAACAAAGATTGAATGTTCTACAAAAGTTGGTACAGCTTTGGAAAGAGGATAAAGAAGCTATGGTTTATGATATGGTAGTAAAATCACTATTACTCACAGTATGGCCATAATAGCTAATATTGTCACACATGTACATGTATTCTGAATTATAAACTATAATTTAAATACCTTTTGACATTTCACAGAATGGCGACCCACATGAGAGGGATACTGGTACACAATCAGCACCAGACAAGATTCTCAGTCCCAGCTATATTCTGTAATGCTTAAACCAATGCTTAAGTCGGAATTCTCATAAGTCGGCTAAAATTCAAAGGTCCCATGTTATCCGACTTATGCATACACTACTATACTTGATTTGGAAGTCCCTGGTAATGCCACATTTGTATTCTAATTTCTAATATTTTTATGATTTCAAAGAATTCCCGATGCAGTTTGATTGTTATATTAAAGGACTTTCAGAATCATAAACGCATATTAATTTGAAATACATGTAATTCTAAGAACAAGTAAATTTGAGAATATTTGCTATATATATATATATCTGAGCAATTTGCCAATTATCGATCGATGGTTTAAATTCAAAAGACATTGATTACAACTTTAAAAAATTTGGGGGGCTGTAGACCCCCTGGACTGACGACCTTGATTTGTATAGGCCCTATAAGACGGACTTGATGTTCTCATTCTTATCTTCCGAGTCGTGCATGGGACTTTATTTTTCACTCAGAGGATTTCAATACATGCATTTCATTCGATCGATTCAATTATTTTTGATTTTTCTAATCCATCAAAATGGGAAATTAAATTAAAATAATTACAATAGTGTGTTCTTAATTTATTTTCAAATTTTGGGATTAATACTGATTTTTGAGATTACTGATCTCAAAATACATAGGCTAAAGAAAAAATTATTATATTAATGTTAATAACGAAACTGCAACAAACATTTAAAAATATTTGCAAATTGTGGGATTTGAACCGATAAAATACCTTTCTAAAATATTTATAAAAATTTGGGATTCGAACCGATACGGTTAATGTGATCAGAACCTATACAGTAAAATAACATCTAAGATAGTCGTATACGGTTAATTCATCCAGGAACTGACACTTGATGATGTCACTATATTCCAACCAATCAGAAACGATGTACGGTAAAATAGCGGAAGTAGATACTTTGCCGTATACGGTTAAATATCCACTCCGTTAAACTAATAGTGGATTTGGGTAAATCGTGCTACCCTTCCAGAGCTAAAAAATACTTAAGATTCTAATGTGTTTTTATTGATATTAATAAAACATGTCCGACACCAAGCTTAAGTCCAAAATAACAAATAATCTTTAAACTTTATATATTGCAGGAAACTAATGATATGAAACCTGTACATCAGTGTGTTGTATGTCACAAGACCTTTCTTGATTACAGTCAACTTGAAACTCACAACCAGATCCATGTCAAAGATGAGAAAATCGATGATGACTTGGATGACGTTGACCGATATTGTGATGTACATTTCGCTGACTATTAGGAATTGCATCGGTGTAAATGATGTGGGGAAAAATTTGAAAACATGATCAAATTCCAAAAACACTGTCAAAAACATTTTAAAGAACAATCTGAAGCAGGTTCTTCACATCAATGTACTGTATGTAACTCGAGATTCGCGGTATACAAGGATTTTCAGGTACATATTTGTGGTACAAGAACATCCAAGAGAAAACGCCCTGCTACATGTGGACTTTGCAGTAAAACATTTGAAGCTAAAAATCATTTAATGTCACATATGAGAACGCATACGGCAGAGAAACCGTTTAAATGCAGTTCTTGTGGCAAGTGTTTTAGTCAGACCCCTAATTTATTACGCCACCTGAAGATTCACACAGGTGAAAAACCCTATAAATGTGATGTTTGTAGTAAATCATTCGCTGATCATAGTAATCTACAGAAACACGCGATCACTCATACCACAGACAGACCTTTCAAATGTGAAGTCTGCGATAAAACATTCAATCGACTCGACGTTCTACGGCAACACGCCAGAATACACACAAAGAAAAAACCCTTTAAATGTGATGTTTGTGGGGAATCGTTTCGATACAAGTCCAATCTGCAAGTCCACAATAGAATTCACACAGGAGAAGATATTTTTGTCTGTGGTGTTTGTGATAAGCCGTTCGGTTCTAGTGGAGATCTTCAGAAACATATTATAACTCATACTGTCCGAGGAAAACCATTTACCTGTGAGGCTTGTGACAAATCGTTTATGTCTGTAAATAGTCTCCAAAAACACAACCGAATTCGTCATAATAGGATAACACTTAGTTGTAAAATATAAATTTGATTGAGGAAATTTCCAGTTGTATCGTTCCGTTCTACTACATTAACCTCTGGGTTCATCTACAAGGAAGGGGGGGGGGGATCTCGTGGGTCTTGACGCTGGCTTGCTAGCCTGGAGGTCGGGTGTTTGATCCCTGCATTGGCCGAGAAAGATCATCCAGATTTCCCGATGTGGTTCCCACTTGTCAGTGATGCAGGACGGAGGGCCTGACAATGACAGCTGTCTAGTCGTTCAGATGAGACGAAAAACCGAGGTCCCGTGTACACATTGGCCCTCCATCCTGCACCACTGACAAAGGGAAACCATGTCGGAAAATCCAGATGAACTTTCTCGGCTAATGGAGGTAAGCCAGTGTCTTACCCACTTTGCCACTGTGGCTCCCATTATGGATAACAATCATTAGCAACTTTAATAGCGCAACATTTCGGCGTATTCTCATTTCGTTATCAAGCAAAAGGTAAATGATGATACAAAATGCTTGGAGTAAAGATTTATGTGGAAAAAATAAAAAAGAAAGCTTACATTATACGGGGCTGGCTTGGCCTAATGGTTTAGAGTGTCGCACTTCGAGCTCTAGCTGATTGGTCACCTCTGTCTTACCCACTTTGGCACTGTGGCTCCCATTATGGATAACAATCATTAGAAACTTTAATAGCGTAACATTTCGGCGTATTCTCATTTCGTTATCAAGGTTTCGATCTCTGGTGTGAGCTGATGTGGCTTGGAGAAAGGAACGTCTTCTCAACCTTGTGAGTTTACTTCTGGTAGTCCTGTTTCCTGCCACAAGAAAGACCCTTGTATTTGCACTAAGATTAAGATAATAAAAAGATCACAACTTGTCTGCAATATCCTCCTCGGTGGAAGCGGATGTTAAACACTAATAGAAGAAAAAGGAGATGAATAAGTTATTACTTACACATAAATGTATACACTCCAGCTTATTAATCCTGTTATCATCCATAGGCTACAGCCTCCCCCCCTCTCTCTCTCTCTCTCTCTAGGAACATGATAGGCAATAGGATCTATGTACTACCTGAATGTTCAGTATTATAACCAGTATTTTGTTGACATTCACTGTGGGGTGGGGTGGGGTTATGGATTGCGTACTTAATTTTGAACCCGCACCTCTATTCCCAGCTTCTAGATCTGCTGTCGCTGTATTTTTCGGGGAAACATGATATAGCCCCTCTCCCCCACGAAAGAAACATTGGCCAGTACACCTATCATTGTTGGGTGAGGTGGCCAACTTTAAATTATAAGGTCTGTTATTCAGTCATGTGGTGTGATTATGATATCTGGAGTGTTCGTAACAAGGCGTAAAGAGAACCATACAGTAATTAGTGTAGGTGAAATATTGAAATAAAGCGGCATCATATGTTAGTCCCAAAATAATCTAGTTTCTGTTTACTGGAAGTTAATCTCTTTTTCCCTGCATCTCCTTGGTGGGCATCCTTATTAACATACTATTATGCTACTGGTAATTAACCACTCAACACCGTGGCCTATGTTTTTTGGTGGTGGTGGTGGGGTGGGGTGGGTGGCAGGGCTTGCGTGGCAAATGGTTTTGGTTAATGTGTACGCGTTGCATCATAAGGTCTGTCATTGAGTGAAGTGGCATGGTTTTGATTCCAAGCTTGTACGGGACAAGGACTAAGATCGCCTGTCCTCTGATGATTCTAAAATAATATTCTATTATGTTGTTCGATAACTTTGGTGGTGTGATTCCGTTGTCAAGCGATGCTTGGAGTGGAGTTATTTCCCTTGGCTCTTGTTGATTTGGGGTCATAATAGTGTCAAATCTGAGGCACAGGGCCGTAACTAGTTTAGAGCAACGAGGGGGAGGGTGGGGGGAAGTGTTCTCAGGGTTACTGTAAAATTGACGGACAGTGTATATCTATGGTCAACAATTTTTTCACATATATCGTAGTCATTATGGCCATCGCCCTAATTCACGTCTGCCTCCATTGTGACATGCCCTCGTTCTGTCTTGAGCTCACCAACTCCTCTGATTTATATCATATACCCAAGCCAATTTATATTTAATTCATTTGGGATCACGGTGGGTAAGACGATGGCACGCTAGCCTGGAGGTCGGGTGTTCGATCCCTGCATTGACCGAGAAAGTTCATCCAGACTTTCCGGCGTGGTTCCCCCTTGTCAGTGATGTAGGGCGGAGGGCCTGACAAGGACAGCTGTCTAGTCGTCCGGATGGGACGAAAAACCCAGTGATTACGTTTCTAGTGTAAGGAAAGATTTGTAATATAAGAATCTTCAATGAAAAAATGGAATTAAACAGTTAGAAGGTTTAATGGATCCATGTGATTTAAAGCGTCGACACATGGATCCAAAATTTTCACAGTCTACAACAGAATACAATACAGAACAGCTGTATTCATCCGCAAAAAAAAATAGTACCTAAAATTCATGTACATTATATAGGTTTAAACGTCAAATGAGGTCAAATGAATAGAGACGTCTTTAATATATACTAAATATTCGTATCATCCCAAATCGACAATAAAACAGTGAGAAAAAGGAAAATCTAAGTAATGGCAATCTAATTAACATAAAATTTACGACATAATGGATTCTTCAATGTTTTGATGGTCATCATGAAGAAAATAGGCCTACATCTGTTCTCAGGAATCCGATAAGATTTTCAAAAAAAAGATCAGTAGAATTATAGATTGTTATTCCACAAAGTCGAAAGGTATGTTAGATTTTTCATTCAGTCAAGTTAGAGCGAGTTTATTGCCGTACTTTGAGCTCCAAACCCGATAGAAATAAAGGCGGAAGTGGCCATAATAGTTTTAGAGATCACTACGTGATGGCGCTCCTGCGTCGCGACAAACGGGGCCGATTTGTCAAGGTCGACTGTTCACAATGGCGTACACGTAAAAGATCCCTTGACAGCTGGAATTCGATATAAGAGTAGGGCGTAGTGCCGCTGTCCCTCATAGCACAACTGTATGGCGTATGCCCGTCTTCATTAGCCCAGTTCGGAGCAAAGCAGTAGGGCGTTAAACCCCATTTCATTTCATTCCACGGACACTGAACTTAACAACAATAATCGTTTGGGCCGGAATACCGACGTGAACTTAAAACACTCAGGAATTGTTTAAGCCCAGTTATCTCCTGTATCTTGTAGGGTTGCCAAAGACGGTGTTGCTTAGTGGTTTGGTTGGGATAGATAATTCCAACCTTGTCCACATTATCCTCCCTACCATATTAAATCGGGACATAAACAGCGCAATTTATGGGAAAGACAGTCGGGTGTCTCCCAAGTGGTCCAGGCTAAATCTGTTAGACATATGGTATCTTGCTGTTGGCTGTTTTAATGTTGTCTGTTTTACTCTAAGCTCGTAACTTATGTGAAATATTGTCTCATTTCGCACATTTCAAAAACAACCATAAGATGCACAAGAATCACCACAAAATCTTCTACACCGTATACAAATTTGGCACCACATAGTCCAGACTAGTATTAGTTGTATTTCAAGAGTTTGAGGGGCCGGGGCGATTTGGGCTGGTGTCATCGATTATTTCCTTACCGTGCAGGTCCATAAAGGCAAGTAGCTAGCTAGAATCGTGGGATTACAACTTCTTTCTATTTTTTCACTTTCTTGCATCAAAACAAACCACAAATGTTTCTATTATTAAATTTATATACAAGAATTATATATATTTACAAACATAGATTATGCATATTGTGTAACCATTACATGGTAGATGATACTATAATATGAATTATATACAAGAATAATATATATTATGTATATAGTGTAATCATTACAAGGTAAATGATACTATAATATGAAGTATATACAAGAATAATAATTATAGATTATGTATATAGTGTAACCATCAGGGCCGGGGTAATGGCAATGGAATGTAATCATTACATTTTTGTAAGTAATGGCCATGTAATGAGTAATAATGGAAATGTAATTAATTACATTCCAAAAATCATGTAATGGTCAATTACATTTCAATTACATTTTATGGCACATATAAATATTTCCAATATAACTAGCCTCAAATTTTATAGCACCAAAGAAGTAAATTAAGTCTATTTGACACAAGGCCAATTCATTATAATTTAAAGATTTAAATCAGTTTTAACACATTATAATAAGAATAATTTCTTCTATTACATTTTATGTACATGCAAGACCCTTTGTTTAGACATGTAAGCTAAAAAGTGGATTTCTGAAAAGATGTATATTGTAATCAAAGATTAGTGCTAATTCGCAGGCAATCACTCTATAAGGCTGACCTTAAAAATATCTTTGTTTCGCCTAACGCGACCGACTAACTAAAACCACCCCCGACTTAAATTATTTTATTGCACTTTTCCGCGATCTTTTTATTTTATTTTGTGTGTCAACGTGAAATATATCACGAGAGTTATTTCCCTTTACTATGGCTATGGTTTGATTCATTATTGAAACTGGTTGATCAAGACGAAAGCGTCATAGGTGTCGCTTCTCAACAAAATGGTTGCAGACGAAAGCACGTCCATTCCCACGAAATGATTCTGCCTCTATGTCTGTGGGGCGTCGTTTTAAACATGACGACGATATTTTCAATATCCGTTTTCGAAAAAAATAAAGGCACAACCCGCACTATCGCTAAAAACGTGTTGAGGGAGTTTCAAACGTGAGTTTGTCGCAATTTGTGTGCGAGTCGTGCATCAACAAAAATCCCGATGTCATTGATTTGTTTGCCAATAAAAGAAGACGAATGTTTGCACCCGGAAAATTATCAAGCTGTCAAATTAGCTCTAAAAAAAAAAATCTGAAAAAAAACCCGACCTACCGACCCTTCTCCTCGATTGTGGGTCGGGTTTGGTGAAACAAAGATATTTTTAAGGTCAGCCTAATAAGAATTATATATATTTACAAACATAGATTATGTATATAGTGTAACCATTCCAAGGTAGATGATACTATAATATAAATTATATACAAGAATAACATAGATTATGTATATTGTGTAACCATTACAAGGTA